GACTGGGGCTGGGGCTGGGGCTGGGACAGGATGTAGCACACAAGCAGCCTCTCCTGGACCTAGCATGGGGATGGGCTCTTAAGCTTTTAAGGAAGCACAGCCCTCATCTTTGAGAGAATCCTTAGTATGAAGGGCAAATTAGGTGCTTTTGGGGGACCCCCAAGGGTAGTGACAGAGGGAGTGCTTCCTACATTAATGGGTGAATTAGTGAGCATGAATTCACTGGGAGATGGGAAGAGGGTAGAGAACAAGAAAAGGCTTGGAAGTGGGATGACCAGTGCAAAGGAGGCAGGAGAGGGTCTAAGTGGCAGAGTTAAAATAGGGATGTTTGGTGGAGAGATGTGTGGCCAGGCTGGTGAGCTTGGAATTGATGCTGTAAGTAAGGATGAGTAAACAGAAATGGTGCTTCAGCAGTGTGATGAGGGCAGTTGCTTTTTGTAATGGTCACTAGTGGAGCTCCTGGGGAAGGATAATGGATGGGGCCCAACTGGAAGCTGGAAGTCAGTTCATTCATTCACTCACTAAACCATTCCTGAGAGTCTGTGGCTCTAAACAGAAAAGGAAAGAGAGAATCTGGGTGGTGCAGGGGAAATATTTATTTTTCTTGAAGTGAAAGGGATGCTAGTGTTCTCAGCTGTGAAATGAGTATAATCCTAATGCTCACTTCAAGGGCTGTTAATGGAAGCAAATAAGGTGATGGACATGAGAGTATTTTGTAGGCTGCATGGCACTGGTGGGAGGGGATGTAAATAGATGGAAAGAGCGATAGCTGTTGAGGTTTGGGAGAACTGCCTGTCCATTCCCCCATGCCCAGGTCAGTGAGCATGCATGCGCCACTGAAGGTCCCAATAACCAGATCCTAGAAATGAATGGAGCCCGGAAGTCCAGGAATTCTACTGCCCCTGTTGACTCCTATGAGTCCCCAGCCTTCAACCTGCTGCGCCTGGAGCTGGAGGGAATACAGCAGTTGGCGGCTCAGCTTAAAACTAAGGGAAGAGTTGGTGCAGCTGGAGAACTTCTCTACCAACTCCAGAGGCAGGTATGTGGAGAGATTTAAGATAGCCTCCTATCTTATCTAATTGCAAATTTGAGTTTCCAAAATCACTTTTTTTTTTTTCTTTCTGGGGAAAAAGACCCTGAGCTGAGAAATGGGGGAGCCTGAGGTCGGTTCTTAAGAACTCTCAGTGACCCACATTCCTGGCATCTCATTTCTGCAGGTGGCTAACGCCAACCTCACACTCAAGCTTCTGGCTGACTCTGACCAGCGCAGCTTCCGCACCCTTCGCCAGGAAGTGGATGCCCTTGTGAGCCAGCTAAGCAAGTGTGAGAGAGAGAAAGAGCAAGAAGAGGCCGCCAGAAACCCTGGCCCATCCTTGCCCCCTGGTGAGGCTTCAGGCTGCATTTCCCAAGATATCATCTCCCCAAAAACAGGGCTGGGCATATGTAAGGTTGGCTATACTGTATTGAGGGGTGGGCAGTAAAGATCTTGATGTAGAGTAAGAATTTTATTTCCTCTCTTATTGTATCACTAAGGGATATAAACCAAGATTAGTACACTCACACACAGGCATACCCACATACATAGACATATAGGCACACTTATAATCAGACATACACACTGGCCTCCATCCATGCACAATTTCACCTGCTTGTATAATCACACTTATCTGTGCACTCAGGTCATGGACATCCACTCAAATGCACACATGGTTACTATACTTCCATACTCTGCTCTCTGTGGGTCATGTGCCTCACACCAGTTCATACCTTGCCTGCTCTCTTCTCTAGGTTCTTGCGCCCATGGAGGCCTCCAGAAAGTCAGCAGACCCCTTGTGGTGCAGCTCAATTGGAGAGGCTTCGCTTACAAGGCAGGAGCCTGGGGCCGAGACTCAGCACCCAACTCATCCTCTCCCCTCTACTGGGTGGCCCCTCTGCTAGATGGCAGGTGAGTCCAGGATGATTACTCTTCTGCAACAAAGTTCATGCCAAATGTTCCCTACCCTACCCCAGCAGGTTTCTTTGTGGCCCCATCCCAGCTTCTTCCATTTCAAGTATGCCCCTGGGCCTGACAATTACCTCCTAGTGCTTCTCTCATGGGTTATGGATGGCCCAGACTGCCCTACGCTTTCTTCACAAATTCACTGTCTGAAATTTTGAATCCCATTGTAATCCAGGGTTGGTTCTATTCCTAGCCTCATCTCATCTCTAGAATGAACCCTTTTATACCTGGGCCTCAGAATCTTAACTTCTGCTCAGAAGAAGTTCAGAGGATAAACGTGACCAAACTTGACACTTGGAGTCAAATAGATCTGAATTTGAATCTCAGTACTGCCACTTAGGCTAAGGGACCTTGTAAATGAAGAGTTCAGAATCACTCTTAGCCAGCTGCAAAATGAGAGTAATTAGATATATGAGAATATCACATGAAATTACATAGAGAAGTGTGGATAACATAGTAGATGCAGATAAATATTTGTCACAGCATAGCTAAATGAATCAATGAGTAGGTGAATGAGCCCTTCAATAAATGAGCAACCTGGCTAGGAAGGCAGGAGCAGCTCACAGACAAGGTCTTACATAAAGTCAGTACATGCAGAATATGACATAGACTCAATTGATTAAGAGGTCATGGGAGGGAGGGGTGAACATGGGTTGAACAACTCATTAAAGAATCCAAGTTGAAGCTCATCTCAGAAAGATGAGCTTTCTGCTGATTATAATGCTCCCTAATTTGGAGAGATATTTTCTAGCATACAAAACACATTTATTTACATGCTTTTGCTTTTTAATCCTCTCAAAATCTTTGTGGGCAAGTCAGGATTTACTGCCCAATATTAAGAGATGGCAATACTGATAGGTCAAGAATAACTGAAGGGACTTTCCAAAGTGACCTTCTGAGCATATATCTTCCTGAATCCAGCTTCAGAACTCTGTCCTACTACAGGACACCTGTGTCTCAACAGCAGGTGGGAGGCAGTGAAGTCTAAGCAAAGAAAATTATCCATAAAGAAGAAAAAATAATAGCTACCACTTGTTGATTATTTACTTTGAGATGAATGCTCTAGTAATTGTTTTATTTGTATTATCTTAGTCTTAACAAGGAGGTAATTATTTTTAACAAATTTACTTATGAGCTGATTAACCTGTAGCCAATTACTCAGCCTTTTTGAGATGGTCTCCTAGCCTGTGGGGATAAAAGCTATCTGAAAGTGACTTTATTATGAGATAATCCATGTAGCATGCCTATTAGGCATTGTTGCTGTTGATGTTATTACTACTGTTTCTGTGGGGGTTTTTTCAATTGTTTATTCTGTCATAGTATATTGTCAGTAAAAAAAGAAAGATTAAAAATCAATTCTGTTTGACTCCAAAGCTCCATTAATTAGGACACCAGCTTGCACATTTTTTAATAGCATGTTGTCACCCTGCTTCTTTCTGTCACCTGATGACTCTGATGTGGTGCTTGGCCTAGGTACTTTGACTACTACCGCCTGCACAAGTCTTATGATGACCTGGTACTGCTGAAGAACTATAAGCAGTGGAAGATGGGCTACGGTGATGGCAGTGGCAATACTGTGTACAAGAACTTCATGTACTTTAACTACTATGGCACAGGTGACATAGCCAAAGTGGACCTTTCTTCCAACACCTTGGTTCTGCAGCGTCCATTGCCTGGTGCCACCCACAATAACCGCTTCTCCTATGCTGGTGTGCCTTGGAAGGACTTAGATTTTGCCAGTGATGAGAAGGGGCTGTGGGTGCTCTATGCCACAGAGGAGAGCAAGGGCAACCTGGTTGTGAGTCGCCTTAATACCAGCACCCTAGATGTGGAAGAAACCTGGCGCACCAGTCAGTACAAGCCAACCTTGTCAGGGGCCTTCATGGCCTGTGGGGTGCTCTATGCCTTACGCTCTCTGAGCACCCGCCAAGAGGAGATCTTCTATGCTTTTGATACCACCACTGGACAGGAGAGCTATATCAGCATCTTGCTGGATAAGATGCTGGAAACGCTGCAGGGCATCAACTACTGCCCCATAGATCACAAGCTGTATGTCTATAATGATGGCTACCTGGTCAATTATGACCTCACCTTCCTGGCACTGGAACACAAGCTACCAACACCACCAGCCAAAAGGCCTCCTGAGGCTTGGGCTCCACCCAAAGCTGCCAAACCCAAAAAGCGCTCCAGGCTCTGAGACCAAATGGGAAGAGCATTGGTAGAAGCATGTCCTCCTCTTCACCCTCCAGGTGGACCACTCCCCAAAATGGACATTAGCCTTAATGATTGGTGGCATTGATTATACCTAGTTAGTTCTTTATACTTAGTATCTCAATCAGCACATTAAAGTTCTCTTTAATAATGATCTATGTGGATTTGATTGGGAAACAAAATGTGGGCTGGAAAATGTTAGCCCCCTCTTTACCAGAATCCTAGAATTATAGGAGCTGGAGTTAAAAAAAATCTTATATTCTGTGTTTTGAAAACTGAATCCAGCTCCTACAATTTTGGACTCTGGGAACTAGGTTTAGAATTATCACAGGTAGAGAGCATCTGGTTCCTGTGCAGAAGATCTAGGGGAGCTTGTCATTAGACTGGGATGTGCAAGTTCTCTTTCTTATTCCCAACCACCTGGGAGGTACCTGGGAGAAAAGGAGCAGTGTCTTGGTGTGAAAATCAATGTCTCACTGTCCTGAATAAATCTCACTTTTGAATGTAACTGAGAGAGGGCTTTAGGTCTGAGTCCTGCTCTAGGAAGTGAGCAACTGATGGCTGAGCATGAGGCAGATCTGGCATCCACTGGGGTGGAGGTCCAGACATTCTCAATAAAGAATATACTTTAGTGTGATAGCAAGAAGTCTCCTAGACAACGGTAGTTTCTTTGCTTATCTTCAACACTTTGAGAACATATGGGCCCTGACTCTCTGCATGGTGAACCTACCCACTAGGCAGGTGAGTGGAATGTTCAAAGTTTCAGACCCTGAAGGCTTCACAGTCACACAGATAACAGAATAGTTCACACACACTGCCTCATGCTTATACTTTCACACATACATATTCACAAGTATTTATCCAATCAGACATATTCATTCTCATTCTTACAGATAAAATATTTCCATCCACAACAAACATTAATGTAGACATAAATGTGCATTTTAACCTATCCACTAATAGAAAATTCATCTGCTACACAAATAAAAAGCAATCACCATCCCAAGTTCCTGGCATGGAACTGAGAATCTGGATTTTTAATTGCCCAAACCTGTCTTATTAGGAATATCACTGTTAACCACTTTCACTCTCACCTCTTGGTTTATACAGACATCTCTTCCCCTTAATGCTTCGTCACAAAGGTAGGCATTTAAGACCAGGCTAGGACACTGAAACAAATCATTCTAAAAATTCTGCTATAATAACATGTAGAAATACCAATTGATAAGTGCATTAAAAATACTTTGCAAGGAACAGCTCAGTTTGAAATGCCCCTAGAGGAAGCCTCCCTGGCTAGCCCAGCTCCTGCTTCTAGGATAGAGAAAATCTCCACCTGCCCCACCCCTCCAATCTCCTGAGGACACTCTCATTTAAGTCTAGAATCCCAAATTTAGGTGCAGAGAAAAATATAACCTTTTTCACTTAAGAACTTTCTTCTTGCTCCATTTTCCTTTTTAAGTCTCCATTCTTTCCAGATTGCTAACAAAAGAAATAAACTTCTTATGGGAGAGATTCTATTCTTACCCAAGGTATGTAGTTTTATCTGTGGCTTCAGTAGACCAAAATTTTCATACTACAAGCCTAATATTCCTACAAGGAACCCATGCATAATGCCACATATCCCACATAACCAATCTGGTCTTTTATTTATTTTTTTAATAGTTCCATTCTGAGAACTTTGTTCCCAATATTCTGGATAATTTTCTTATTTTATTTCATTGTGTAGACCTGGACTACCTAAATATGCCTTCCTTTCCCAGTTAGTCCTGGCAGAAACTGTGAAGCCAAAGTTAACATCATAATATCCCTTTTTTGAAGAGTTTATGCTCTTGGTGGGTGGGGTAGGGGGAGGGGTAGCCCTGGGGGGAGTCATCTCTACTTAGCTTATCTTGCAACAAGTATGAATCAGTAGCCACGACAGACCTTAGCTGGGCCACATCTGGAGAACTGGGGTAGGGGACAGAACATCGCAAAATACCTGGCCCCAGTCTGGTCACTCATCCCTTTTAGGGTAACAAGGAAACTAGCCTGTGGCCTGAGAACATAACACCTGAGACAGAGGCCAATGATCTCCACTCACCCTTCCTTTCCCTGCTTCTACTTGCTCTCCATCTGCCTTCCCACTAAGGTTTCATGCCACATGTCATCTCTCAAACATCCATGATGGCCCAGCCATCCTTTAGGGGTGCTTTCCAACAAGAACATCTCTTCAAGTATCATTCGAGTGATGTTGAAGACACCAGGTGAGCAGGAAGACTTTATGATAGCTAATGACACTTAGGTGAGGCAGTTCAAGGAGAAGCTATTGGCTCACTTTAAATGCCAAATGGACCAACTAGTACTGGTCTTCATGGGCTGTATTCTCAAAGACCATGATAGACTGAGTCAGAGGGGCATCCTTGATGGCCACACCATCCACTTAGTCATCAAGTCTAAACAGGGCTCCAGATTCCTGGCCCATTCTTCCTGGAACTTGCCGACCAATGAGTCTTGCCACAGGGACAGAAACACCAAAGGAAAAAGCAGTGGGGTATATAAGCCTGCTGGTATGAATCACACCCCAGTGGAAGCAGCCCTCTTTGTGGAGTCTGATGCACCCCAGGTGCATACCCAGGACCCAGCAGTGGGTGCTCCTGAGCATATAGCACAGGTGCTGGAGAGTCTTAGCACCCAGTGGCTTTGGTCCACCATGGACCTCATGGGACAGTTCATCTCAGAACACCCAGAAATGCAACAACTGGTGCAACAGAACCCAGAAGTCTCACATATCCTTAACAATTCTGAGATCCAATGGAAGACAATGGAGTTGGCCAGGAACCTGGCCTTGATTCAAGAGATCATGCAGATCCAGCAACCTGTACAGAATCTTGAGAATCCACTGAACCCACTGTCACAACTGGGTACAGAGATAATCCCAGGTGGGGATAATGCCCTGGGTCAGAGCTATGCTGATTTCAATGACCAAATACTCAACAGCTCCCAACATCCCTTTGAGGGGAACCCTTTCACAGCTCTCCTGGAAGGACAAGCCCAAGAACAAGTCCAGTCCTCACCCCCATCTTCACCATCATTCCAGGAAAGGCAGGACCAGATCCCACAATTCAGTATAACCTAAGACATCTATACTAGTTACTGTGGTTTCCCTCCAATCACCTCAGTCAATGTTACCCCGAACAAGGTGAACCATACTTCTAGGGCCAATACTACCACTAATTCCACCAAGGGCCAGAGTCATACCTGTGACATTCTGAAGCCAGCTGGGGGTACCAGCCTTACCTCACTCAGAGCTCACACAGAAACCTCAGGCAGGAGGTAAAGATACCACCATCTCTATAGATAGCTCTGACCAGAGGTTAGAGGATGATCTCCAGTTGTCAGAAGAGCAGGCCAGTTCCACCCAGGTCATAGAAAGCATGGTGCAATTGCTTTTGAACAACCCTTACCTGGCAGTCCAGATGATGTTCATGAATATGCCCAAGCTGAATGAACAGTGGAGGCAGCAGTTTCCCACCTTCCTGCAGCAGACACAGCTTTCTGACATGCTTATAGCCCTAGCCAACCCTAAGGCATCTCAAGCAATATTGCAGATTGAGCATGGTCTGCATCTGCTGACCACTGAGGCTCCTATTCTTCTGCCCTGGGTTGCACCTTTCCTCTGGGGCTTTGGCTATCTTCCTTCACCCAGCTGCAGCTACCCTGACACAGTGCCCTTGGCTTGGGATGTGTCAGATATGGCTAAGCCCAAAGGGCCTGAGTGCAGTGACAAATCTGAAACAGTCATGCAGAGGTTACAATCTCTAGCTGAAGATTCTGCCCACCTTCTACAAGCCCCTGAGATTCATTTCAGCAAGCAAATAGAATCTCTTCAGGCCATGGGATTTGAGAACCACCATGCCAATCTGCAAGGACTCATTGCCACTGAAGGGGACACCAGCACTGCAATTCGCAAGCTCAAGAGATCCCAGGGATTCTAACCACAATGCCTGCCTGCTCCCTCATTACCTGCCTGCTGACCCATTTGATCATTTCATCTGTTAGTTGGAGAAGTCCTGGAGTAGGAGAAAGCAACCAATACCTCCTCTACCAAATAATTGACTATTGGCCATGGCTAGAATACCTGTCAATAAAATGGCTACACCCATTTGCCTCCATCTGAGGTTGGCTTTGTTTCTTTCAAAAAAGGCATCTATCTGGCCCTGGCCTGTATGGCTCATGCCTGGAAAGTCCTCAGGTTCAATTCCCAGTAAAGGGCAGCACCTGAGTTGCAGGTTTTATCCCAGGCCCTGGTCAGGACACATGCAGGAGGCAACCAATCAATGTGTCTCTCTCATATTGACACTTCTCTCTCTCTCCCTCTCTCTCTCTCTCTCTTTCTCTTTCTCTCTCTCCCTCCCTCCTTCCCTTCTACTCTCTCTAAAAAACAATGAAAAAATATCCTCAGGTGAGGATTAACAACAACAACAAAGGCATCTATCTGTGTGTGATATTTCAGTCTCACCTACCTGCATACCTGAACACACACACATCATGTCTATATTTATATAGGGAATTATAGTTGACCACATAGAACCACATGCATCATGTTCACATACCCAAGAACATGCATATGTAGACTCAGACAGATATGTACACATTTGTAGTTTCACATAATTAAAGATTCACCTATATTGGCACATAGTTAACACACAGGTAAGCACAGTCATGTGCATACAGAGATATACACAAATTCCTAGAGACACATAGACTTACATTTAAGGAAAGCAAACCATACAAAAGAGAAAAATACTACAGATAGACTCAGAAATGTGTGGGACACACATTTCCCAACCACATCATCTTTCGCATATCTAATGCTTGCAGCTCACATTTTCTATGGTTAGTCAAGGTTCCATCTCTGTTTCCTTTCTCACCAAGAGTATCTCAGCCAACTGGTACGGAAACAATTGTAGTTCAGCTACTCAAGTATTAAATTATTTAATAAGCTCTTGCCATAACTTAGTTAAGTCAACTATTATTTTAGGCATTGAAGAAATAACTGTGATAAAACAAAGATCCATTACTTATGGAGTTTACTTTCTTTTGTGGGGATCAAGCATTCAACTTATAGACACATTAGGTGGTGATACATGCTGTGAAGAAAAGTGAATCAGGTTAAGCTTTTCTAAATAGTGAATAATCAGGACAGGGCTCTCTGAAAAGGTGACAGTTGAGCAGAAGTCAGAAAAATTCAAGATGTAAATGGGCAATTCCCTGGGAGAAGAATATTCCAGGCAGAGAAGTCTGTATAATAAAAGTAAAAGCCATTAAGTAGGAGTCTGCTCATGTTTGAGGAATAACAAGGAGATAGTATAGCTGGAGTGAATAAGAAAATGGGGGGGAAAGAGGACCTTAAAGAAATCACAAAGAGATTTTTAGGTCTGGTAAGGACTTTGGATTTTACTGTGAAAATCACTGCTGGATTTTGAGCAAAGGAATGAAGTGATTTAATTTATCAGCCTAGCTGTTGAGTGGGGAATAGATAATGGTAAAGGGAAAAGTTGGAAGCAGTAAAGCTAGTAGGTGTTTTTGTGGTGGAGCAGAGAGAAGAGGGTAATGTTCGAGACTAGGGCAGAAGCAGTGGAGGTGGTGAGAGTATTCTGATTTTGGACTGCAAAGGGGATCCTTAGACATGTCTATGCTCCTCACAGGCCACCCACCCTCCAGGCTGGACATCTTCATCAGCAAGGGGGAAGGACAGGTCCACAAAGTTCCAAGTGTGTCTAGCAAAACTACTGCTAAGGATTCCTACTCCACCACCACGACCTACCAAAAGGATATGCCTCAAGAAAGAAATTATAGCTAAAACTGATGCTTACCTCCTCAATAAGAATTTCATATTAATCCAATATCTTGGTTACCTCAGTTTACATAAAAAGCTCAGGCTCTCAAGGTTCTCTCTCTCTCTCTCTCTCTCTCTCTCTCTCTCTCTCTCTCTCTCTCTCTAATCCTCACCCAAGGATATTTTTCCATTGCTTTTCAGAGAGAGTGGGAGGGAGAGAGAGAGAGAGAGAGAGAGAGAGAGAGAGAGAGAGAGAGAGAGACATCGATGTGAGAGACACACATTGATTGGTTACCTCCTGCAGGCACCCTGACCAGGGCTGGGGATGGAGCTTGCAACAGAGGTATGCACCCTAGGCCAGAATTGAACCCAGGACCCTTCAGTCCATGGGCTGATGCTCTAACCACTGAGCAAAATCAGCTAGGGCAGGTCCTCTTACTAATTCTCATCCCAACAAACTTGAACATCTCTCATCTGACTCAATAGTCCACTTGTCATCAATTCTCCAAACCTTTCCACCCTACCATTTAGAACTCATAATTTAGCAAAAGCAAAACCCTTGTACCTACAACTTTCCAAACGTTCCCTTGCCTTTTTTGCTGCTACTGAATTCTGGCTGTCCACTGAGGACACTGCTTCTCCAGCAGTGCTAGTTGCTTGTTTCGTTCCATATGGATTTAGAAGTGGGGTAAGTGTCCTTCTTGCACCTTCTTTTGCTTTCTGACCACAATTCTCTAGCTTCAACACTATTCCACATCTATCAATATAATCATTCTGGCATAGCACTCACCTAGCAAACTCACCATGGTCTATCTGACTCTGCCTAATCTCTGTGTAGGCAGAGAAAATTAGACAACTGTGCTGACTAATCTCATTTAAATTTATTACCAAAAGCCTTAATTGGTCTCTCAGTGATCCTTCTACGTTTTCCTTCTCCAATATTTCTCATCAGAATCTGCTTTAGTGTGTTAAAAGATGAATTTCTGAGTTCCATTCCAAGAGGTCCTGATTCAGTAGGTCTAGAGTGGAGCCCCAGGTGATGCTGCTGCTGCTGATGTGGGGAACCACACTTGGAGAGCCAATGCCCTAGTCAATTCACTATCTTATACTTTGCAATGATCATTCTATATATTTTCTGTTCTTCTCACACTTTCACCATCCTCATTTCTACTCTCATCATCACAGCTGATATTTTGCTCATTCCAATAAGAAGACAAGTGATCAGAACTGACTTACACCTGCACCCATCACTAAATCCACCAGCTAACTTGCATCTGTACTCATACACTCTGCCCTTCATCCTGTTGTATTGAATAAACTGTCCATGTTCCTAAATCAAACTCTCCATTTGTCTAACTACTCAACAATTTACTCTTGAATTTTTTTTCCTTTTCTCTTGCTTCATTTTTTTCTCATTGGATTGCTCCCATCAGAATAAAAATGTCATATTCTCAAGAAAAAACAAAACAAAAAAGCCTTTATCACCACATGCCCATAGAGCCACCAACCTTTTTTTTTTTTTAATTTTTATCACTTACAATACTTTTATTTGATCCACTTTTTTCTAATCCATTGGTTTTTAAACCCAGTCCATTAGGTTTTCTGCACCCAGCACTTGTCCAAAACTTGTTTCATCATGGTCCTAATTCTCTCTTGTCAAATCCAGTAGCAATTCTCAGTTCCCCTTCTACTGACCTACCAGCATCATTTGACACATTTGGTTACTCTCTCCTTTTTGAAACTCTCCTTCATCTTCCCTCTCTTTCTCTCTCTGCTTTTTTTGACTTAATGTTTTATTTTTTCTAAATGTCCTTTGCTGAGTCCATCTGATCTTCCAGATGTCTAATTATTGTAATGCCTGTGACTGTCTTTTTACCTCTATCTTTTTCCTACATACATTAAGCTCATGATTCTGAATACTTTGTTAACATGGATAAACTCTAGACTCATGGTATTGAATTATCTTCCTACATTTGCCTTTGAATATAAAATAGACATCTCACATATAGGTAAAAATGAACTCTTAATTTTCTGGATAACAACCATATTCCCTCTTTGTTTTGTTTTGTTTGTTTTTTTCTAATCTCAATAATAGCCAATCCATTCTTTGAATTCTTCTGGAGAATAATGATTTTTTTAAGTAAAAAAAAAATAAAATTGTCAATTTCCACTCCTCTCATACTCTAGCTTCTGCCCATCAGAAAGTCAATACTTTGAAAATATATAAATAATTTATGGCTAATGTTGAATCAGAGAAAAGACTGGATGCCAGGAAGAAGAAGGTTGACTGGGAAGTAGCCGAATTTGTGTCTTAATGGGGACACAGAAGATTAAGAAATCTTTCTTAGTTGTTCAATCCAAGTGAGCCTCCACATACCACATACCAGGGCTTGTGGAAGCAGGACTCTTGGACTCAGAAGGAGGGTCAGCAGAGGCCCCTCACTATGAAAAAGGCAATGGAGATCAAGGAAGTGGAAAAGTTAAAGGTTGAGGGAGACAGAGGTCCCAGGGATGCAGTGTACCTTGGAGAAATCTCAAGAATCCATGGTATGAGGCTGTGATGTCAGTGCTGAGGTCACAGAGGTGACCTGATAGAGTGGGTTCCAGCCCAGAAGGCTTCAGGGGTGGCTGCTCAGCAAGATGAGGGCGGTTTGGAGCCCTGTATAAGAGGAAGGACGGGGTCACAGCTGATTGGTATGTATTCCCCAGACTGGGTTCTTCTTCTTGCCAATGCCCCTTTACTCATCCACTGTAGGCCTCTTTTCCAGGGCCTCAGGTGTTCCTTCCCTGACCCCTACATCTCTCAAAGCCATAATCCTCACAAAGCATCCTACCTCAGGGACCTCATTGACCCTTCTATGTGGACTCTAGTTTTCCCACGTTGAGATCCCAGGCCCTTTTTCTGTTCACCTTTCCTACTTTCACCACTACCCCAAAAGATGATCTTGGTCTCCCATTCCCATCCCCCAGCTGTGTCCCCACAGACCTGGGCCTTCTGCTGCCCACCATGGCCAAAAGCGGAGAGGCCCTGCCACAGGGCAGTCTAGCACCAGTCCAGGATCCCCACCTCATCAAAGTGACAGTGAAGACGCCTAAGGACAAGGAGGATTTCTCAGTTACAGACACTTGCACTATCCAGCAGCTGAAGAAAGAGAT